GCGTCACACCATAAAAATAGGCTTAGCCAAACATGTTCAATACACCTAAAATTAAATATTAATGACCCGATTATTAACCTTTTTACATTATAATTCATATGCGTGTTTGTTTAGAAAATACACCTATGTTCAAAGCTTTTTCAGGATTATCAAATTTCTAAAAAAAAAAATGTTGTATGCCCATATATAGTCATGATGTGGGTATGGACATCATGTGATGTGATGACCATATTTAGGCAAAGCTGCCTAAACTTAAGATTTCTCTACGACGAATGACCCTTCCTCTTCCGACAAACCACAATCAACAATAATAACATCTTTATATGGCTTATTGCCTGCATCCGTTTTGATATTTTCTATTTTCTTGACTAAGTCCATTCCATCGATAACTTTCCCGAATACTACGTGCCTCCCGTCTAGCCAAGACGTTTTAACAGTTGTGATGAAAAACTGGGAACCATTGGAGTTCGGGCCTGCAATATAAACATGAACATTAAAATGATGGTTGGTAGGCCTAAGTATGATTATAACAAATAATTTAAATACCGTACAGTAATTGAAATACGGAAAATGTATAACGCAGGTAAATTATTATAAAATTGTGTTAAAAATATAAGGAGCTGTTTTAGTAATTGTTTTATAGTAAGAAATGCAAATGAAATAAAATAGTTCTTCTAATAAACTGATGCTTCTTAATTTGTGGGACAAGGCACGTGCGTTTGTGAGACGCACGCGTGTTTGTGGCGCTGTTCTGATTGGTCAGTTGTTAAGATTAATTGATACTCCGAAAAGGTGTATTCAGCAGATCTAGTCCCCTGTAGGAATAATTAGTACTCTATCTCAGATATGCATTGGCAGTTTTCTGGAAGCACAGTCGTTTAGATAAAAAGCAACTAATGTATTGTACCTGAATTAGCCATGCTAACCCATCCTGGCCCGTAATGCATTAGGTCGAAGTTTTCATCAGCAAACTTTTCGCCGTATATACTTTTCCCGCCAAATCCATTTCCATGGGTGAAATCGCCACCTTCAAGACAAAAAATAATATTAATGAGTAATGAATGTAAAATCTTTGAAAAGAAATGTTCATCTGTATGATCCATTAGACATTCTGTTATTATGCTTTTAATTAAAATAGGCCTAGTATAATTGTTCAATTTCATATTCTGATGCATATATATGATTTGTACTAAGCAGATAGAAGTTATTAAAAGTAAAGTCGATGATGTATACGTACCTTGAATCATAAAATCTTTGATAACTCGATGAAATTTACTACCCTTATAGCCTTCCTTTACTCCACGTTTCGTTGCAAGTGTTGCAAAGTTTTCGACTGTTTTTGGAACTACTTTACCAAACAAGCCGATAACGACTCTACCCGTGTCTTCTCCTCCGATGGAGATATCAAGGAACACTTTTTTGGTAACTAGTGCTTCTACGCCGTCATCAGCTGGGTTTGCCTGGATAGATGGGTGGGGAAACAATTGTAGGCCTAGCATTATCAATCAAGAAATAAAATAAGGAAGGCGTATTAAGTATTGGACGTACCCCAATGGAAATATGCCTTCAGTCTTTATAGGATTATCCTGGGAAATCCCAATATATTTTCTATTTTGATTTTCATTTTTTATTAGGCCTATTATATTCTTTTCTTTACCTACGTTTCGATGTAATTGTTTGTGCTTTGATTTTCCAAATGAAGTCAGATCAATCAAATGAAAGCCCTATTTGTTTCAGTTTATGCCTATCGTTAACCCTCGCGCATCAAGGTGCATATCGAGCACCGTATTAAAGATTAGTAGCATAGCACATCTGTGCCGGACCATTACGCTATTCTATTTAGTTATTTAAATTTCCTGGGAATTTATTTTTAAACGTCAGCCTGTATTACTATTTTACTAGTGGTTGTTTGGAACTGTACAATCAATACATGCTTAAACTACCTAGCGGCCAAACGATCAAATCAGTATTATGTGAAAGTACTAACTAACGCAATAATGCCTATTGCCTAACTGTATAATCAATAGGCCTCACACGTTTAGGAGTTTAATCACAATTAAAAAAAAACATGATCGATCAGAGCATATGGAACCAAAAAAACAAGGAAAATTTGGGGAAAATATGCTTTGTCTGGCTGGAAAATATATTAACAGCGATATAACAATGATATAACTGAAAAGCGCTCAGCTAAACGGTGCCATCTCAATGAATATAAACTCAAAATTACAACTCATACTTAATAATCATCGGAACAATTGATAATGACAATTAATAATGATATTGATAATGATAATGATATGGAAGTTATTCACATAATTTACACAAAAGAAGAATGAGAAATTGATTATATCTATAAAACTGAGTACTTAGTTCATATTTTATATAGTTCTTTCTTTCTTTTGAAAATTTAATTCGACATACAATTGCTCAACTCAAAGGTTAGCTTAGGTTGTTTAGGCCTATTTGTTATTGAAGAAATCTGTATCTGATATAATAACGTTTTATTAATATCATTATCAATTATCATTTAGTATAATTATTATTACTATTACAACTATCATCACCATTATGTTCATCATTATCGTCACGTCATCGTTCATCATTTATCATCATCACATTATCATCAATCGTCGTCGTCATCATCATCATTAATATAACTAATGAGATAAATGTATCGAGGTTTGTAAGTTTGAGCAACTCCCTGGTTTGAGGGCCTATCTAAGGGTAATGAGTTTTTGAAATTGCTCACCAAGCAACCACCACCACATAGTCGCATAGAACAGACTGTGTACGGTAATACAGCATGGTTTAAGAAGGATAACAACTCCCTGGTTTAAGCATGGTATAAAACTCATGTCCTCAAATACATAGAAGCTAAACTGTACATTGTAACATTGGGGAAGGCCTGTCATTGGTTGAAAAGCGCTTACGGAAATACCCTGTATGACTATAAGCGAAACTATACTTACATGTGCAAAAACCAGGCAACAAAATACACTAATGAATCGAAATGCAAACGTGGCTGTCATGTTGATGCTTGTAGTTTCGGCCTTCCGAGCGTTGTTATGTACAGAGGAAATTGCCTGTTAACCGGTTATGAACTACAGTACATATAGCACAGCAACTCGATACTCATGGGTCATAGTTCGAGTCAGCAAATCAAAGGCGATTGCAGTTTAAACGTGGCAGAATGAATTCGAGTAAGCAGGTAACACGTGACCTAAACTTTATCGATCATTGATTGGACTAATTATCAAAACAGATTTAACGCTCTGTTGATTTTATAACAACAGATTGTCTTTTTGTCAATGGGACGTACGCTTTTGTTATAGCGCCGCACAATGGAAAAAAGAAGCAAGAAATATAAGAAAAATTTTAAAAAAACAGACACAAACAAAATAACATTAAATAAAATTAATATTAAGATAATAAACAATCACAGCAATATAGGCCTATTTGATCATAATAAAGAGGTGTTTCTGATGAAAAGTATTTAGAAGGCAACATCGTCTCTCCTCTTGACGAATAAATCATGTACTAATCTTTCAGAAATTCTAAATACCTGTAGTAAAAAAGGGATGGGATACGTGGCAAGCATATTATTTAGGTCATGTATCAGTAGGAGCTAGATTTAAATCACGATCAGCCAGTCGTGACAGGACCAGCATCCGCACCGAGGTCGTGGTTTTGGACCACTACATTATATTCATGGGAGAAGGTTTTTTTTCTTTGTTTTTTTTTTTTGTTTTTTGTTTTTGTTTTTGTTTTTGAACGGAGAGTAATTTTAAAATGGTTCAAAGTTTGTTTTTTTTGTTTTATCCAATCATGTTTTTATTGATTGCAATAAAGTTAAATTATGTGGCCAATCTCGAAGGGAATTTATAAGCAAAACTATAATAACACAGTTCCACCAGATAGTGTATTCGTCATGACATATGGCTATCACTACTTAAACCGTCACTACGATAGTTCCAGGGAATTTTTACGTACAGTTTATTTGTTTACATTTTTATTGGCATGGGATGGTAACCTGTGAATTATGAGCCTGCCGGGTTTGTCCCTTAAACTGCGGGAGAACGGTTACACCTTGCTTATTGTTAACCACTTTACTTGTTTTCCGATTTACTGTTCACAGCTTCTACACAGCCGACATAATAGCTAATCCTCTATTATTATTTATTTGGAAAAAAGCTTTTTTAACAGCGGCACACATCACATCAATGGTGCATCCAAAATAAAACCATAACAATCAAAATCATAAAAACCAACAAATGGGAAGACAATTGATCTATGGACACTCCTAGCTCTCTACTTCAATCAAGCACTATTCACACCTTCTTTGTTTCAAAGGAAAAACAATAGATCACCGACGATTACTAACTCTATTTAAGACCAACATAAGTCATCTTTTATCATTCTCATGATGACAGTCAGAGCAATCTTACCGAAACGTCGAGACAACCAACCAGTGCTTTTTACCTTAATAAAAAACATATACTTTTACTTTATTTACAGATGGTGTACCGAAAGTTTGTTATATGTTTATTGATACTCACCATGCAAACCTTCATGAAATATTAACACTATAATAACAATATAACCTGCGGCTTTCTATTAAATGAAAAAAAAGAATGAGGCCTCCTTGTTTCCTTTGACATAAATAATTATACCTTATTAACACATTACTAACATTAACATTATTAGTTTGCAAGTGTGGGTAATATATATGCATA